GAAAGGCAGATTGCTCGGGCCTTTCCCCTGCAGCTGGGCGCTTCACAGCAACTTGGCGAAAAGTGGTGGTATCTCCCACTTCCCTGTGCCTCTCCATCCCTTCCCCAGGAAGCCTTATTTTGACAAGGCATGGTAGCTTAGAAAAAGTAATGTGGCTTAAAAAAAAAAAAAAAAAGAATCCCACATTAAGTATGATTTAGCCATTCTGATGCAATGATTTCGATATTTAAGGAGAGCCCAGTCCCAGTTCGGACCAGTGTCTTTCAATTTCAAGTTGTTCACCCCCATCAGAGATGAAGTCGCTTTCCGCCACCCCAGGGGACGCGGTAATGGATGGAGACCTGGCTCCCTTTCGCACCAGTCATTGGCAATCCCTCCTCCCGGACTGGATAAGAAGCTGGGGAAGGGCTTTTAAAGACAAATGTGGACTTTACCTGGGGTTGTGGTGTGCGCTATTTGTGTGTGCGTCTGGCTGCCTGCCCTTTCAGCTGTGTTTATGCGCATAAATAAGAGGCGTTCATGAGAAACAGCAATTCCGATGCACTCCGAGGCTGCCACATCCCCGATCCAAACCACCCGCTGCATTTTCCCGCTGCCTGCCTGCAGCTCTACCGAAATAAACCCGGTAGCATCTGGTCGGTGACCGAGGGGAGGCTCCAGAGTGCCCCGGGAGACAGGATCCACCGGGAGGCCGATCCCCAGGGAATCACATTAATCCCACAGACACCTTAGCAGATTCACTCTTTCAATAGTTCGACCTCCAACTTCATAAATAACTAAGAGGGGGGGAAAAATAATTGAAAAACCCAAACAACAAACCCCAGAACACCTGCTCTAAAGCGGGACAGCAACCCCGAACCCCTTGCAAAACCAGTCGTGTGTTATTAACCCTAGTGTCACTCCCAAACCGTTTCATTCAAATGCAAGACTGTTTAAAGGCTAAATCACAGAAGAGATAGAAGAGTAAGGGAGTAATCGAGTAAGAGAGAGAGTGAAAGAAAGAGAGAGTGAGAGAAAGAGAAAGAAAGAGAGAAAGAGAGAAAAGAAAAGGAAAAGAAAAGAAAAGAAAAAGAAAAGAAAAGAAAAGAAAAGAAAAGAAAAGAAAAGAAAAGAAAAGAAAAGAAAAGAAAAGAAAAGAAAAGAAAAGAAAAGAAAAGAAAAGAAAAGAAAAGAAAAGAAAAGAAAAGAAAAGAAAAGAAAAGAAAATGTTCTGTTTGTGATTGTTTTCTGCTTCAGACCATGCCAATGAAACTTGGGTTTTCCCGCGGAGCAGAAGCGCGGGCTGGCTGGGAAGCCTGGAGGAAATGCAGGGTTTCACCCCAGCGGCGCTTCCCGTGCGGAGCACACGGTCCTTGTGGGGAGGCGGCAGCGCCCGGCGGTGCCTGACAATCCTGTTTGCAACAAAAGTACACGGGGTGAGCGGGGTGGGGGGCGATGGACTAATATGGAATCCAATAGCCTTTGAGTGCTTCAAACAAACGTCTGCCACTGTGGTTCTCCGGAGGAGCCGACGTGTAATTCTGGCAAGTGGCGGGGTGCGGCTGGAGTGCGCCCCGTTTTGCGGCGAGGGGCCTCAGCGGGGACTCGCCTCTTCCCTCGGTGCGGCGGGGG